TTGAAAGGTCCAGGCCTGCATGTGAGCATTCTGTGGGCAGCTGTAGAGGGGATTCTAGGCAGCCAGGCTTAAGGCAGGACCAGGTGATGAGCGATTAACCCCTTACTGATGACAACAAGCTCAGCATCCCTCCCTCAGGCCAGCGCTGCTCACTGTGTGCTCTGAAAGCTGTGATCTACACCACACTACAGCCTCAGCACTGCTCTCCTGGACTTCATATCGTAGTGCACTCCAGATAAGGGTTCAGGGAGAAGTCAGAAGGGTGATGCTAAATGCTAAACGGACTTCTGTCTTACTTAACACAAAATATTTCTTACTAGTTTTAGATTTGGTTAGAGAGGCACAATTTCACTTATCTTTTCTCTACCAGAATATTTATGGAAACCTTTAATATTAGCCAATATCAATGATTTTTTGTTTTACAGTAAAACCGCTTCAATATTTCACTATTTTCATGCTATTTGCTGTGCTGTGCAGTGCCTGTACCACAGCATTATATCCCTCAGCCTCAGCAGTTTGACAGGATTCATGATTTTATACTGTTTTCATGTTTATCTGTGTTCTCTCGCTACAATACCCTGCATGCATTATGCTAATACATTATACAACCATTGGGACTCCCTGTGGTGTCTATCATTTATGACTGCTAGCCTAGCCACTGGGCTACAGGCTAATAAATACAGCCAAGCTAGCATCAGTGTAACTCTTAACTCACTAAACTAAACATTGATTCTATCTTTATAGCACTGAATAGAGACTAGAGTTTTATTTTTACCCTTTCAGACATAGAAAAGAGGCCAAACTGAGGTAATGTAACTGTTACTTCCTTGCTAACTTTAGCTTTTAGCTTGTTCTCACATCTGACAAGATTTTTCTGTCATTTGAGTAATTCATTCTCTCAGGTAATCATCATTTTACCACAGATAATTGCAGTCTGTGGTTGCATTATTCCATTTTGTGCACTCCCTCAGTAACAGAGAGAATTGTGAAAGGAACGGGCAGTGGGGCTAGCCTAGCCACTGAGCTACAGGCTAATAAATACAGCCAAGCTAGCATTAGTCTAACTCTTAACTCAGTAAACTAAACATTGATTCTATCTTTATAGCAGTGAATGGACACCAGAGAGTTTTTTTTCCCACCCTTTCAGCCAGAGAAAAGAGGTCAAACTGAGGTAGCGTAACTGTTAGTTCCTTGCTAACTTTAGCTTTTAGCTTGTTCTCACATCTGACAAGATTTTTCTGTCATTTAGGTAATTAATTCTCTCAGGTAATGATCATTTTAACACAGATATACAGCTGAAGAAAAGCACAGTGTGACATAACATGATGTAATTTATTACGTTAACAATAAATATGGGCATATTCCCACCTCTACTGTCCCGCATGTTCTGTATGCGTGAACTCTGCAGGAGAATGAGTGACGTTTTTACTATGACTTCTTCAAGATACTTACACAATCAACCTCTCGCTTTCACACCTTTTACTAGCAGGAAGTCTTGAAGACCACACAAAACATACACAACTGACAGGCAAACAGACTACACATCTTCAGGGCATAAGCAAGAAGAATTTTAATTGAACAGAGAACCAGGCCACCATTTTGCAGAGCAAGCTACTTGGTCTTTGAGGTCACTTTATAAGGCTGTGCCTCTCGGAGGACTTGTCGAGACTTGTGAGGCAGTAGGTCCTTGCCGTGTCTATAAAGCACTGAAGGCAGAATGCTCTGACGCTAATAGCAGGTTGCCCAGCTGTGCCGTCTCTAACCAGCCCTGCACAGCTGTAATTAAAGCACACATCAAATGCACATTAAAGCCCCCACTGGTCCCAGGCACAGGGGAGACGCTTTCAGAAGCACAGCTTCCTATTCGGGGCCTGTTCCACCTGCCAAAAACTGCCAGCGATCTATCAGTGGGCCTCTGATGGCTTTCCAACCTACTAATTTTTCCATTTTGCCAATTCACGAGCAAAGCGCGGTCATATTTGCTGTGAAGGATTATGTACACATCTGCTCGAGCCGGCGAAGATGGAAAAGAGGTAATCTTGCCTTGACGGATAGGTTAAGTAGACTAAACGATACAGGAAGACTTATTGGAGATGAGAAGAAAGTATGCGATTGTGGCTGAAGAAGAACGAGGAAAAGTACCACTTCCCATCCCTGAACATCTTCACACAGCGAGGAGAGAGGCAACGAGAAGATCCAGCCAAAGTGCTAAAAGCTCAAATGGCATGCCAGTCAGATATCAATACACTTCAACTGCTTCTTGGAAAGGTGAGAGCGAAAAACAGCAGCTCCATGAAAACAAAAGCTCAGCTACTGAGGTCTGACCTTGGCATTTCAACCACAGCGCTCAAAAATGGAGAAGAAATCTGGAGAGTCAGAGTACTAGGATTAGCTCGGCCTCTGCATTCGATGACTTGCCCACCCCCGGTCAGAGGTCACTCCTACGAAAGGTCAACGGAACACTGATGCAGAGGACTTTCCCATGAGTCACTGCTTAGTGCCTTTCTTTCCAATCCTTAACAGGGGTCGCTGAATAGCTGAGACTGTCAACACAGGCCTGATAGTGGACAGAGTTGAGTTTAACTCAAGCCTAAACAGCTGTAGGGGTTATGGGAAAACTGTTCTACACTCTTAAAAATGGAGGTGCCAGGGTTCTCTGGAGTGATGCCATAGAAGAATCACTTTTGGTTCCCGAATGTTCCAGAACGTTTAGCAACTCTTAAGTGCAGCATGCCTAAGACTACACATGCCTTTCATGACCACAGAAATAAACCTATGTACACACTTATATTGGCTTATTCCAAGTATCAGTGGTCATAAAGTCTGCTTTTAACAGTTTATGTGATTTCACTTCACTAACACTTGTCGGAATAAGCCTTTATAAATGTTTACCTAGGTTTATGTCGGTCCATATAGATTTGGTTCAGGCTTATGTAGACTTTGGGTAGCCTTAATACCTGAGTCGCAACACAGGCCTGAAAGTGGACAGTCAATTTAACTCAAGCCGAAACAATTGTAACAGTTATAAAACTCTACTACACGTAAGCATTAAGGTGCATAAGGGTTCTTTGGAGTAATGCTATACAAGAACCAATTTTAGTTCACTAAAGCAGTGGCTCTTAAGCCAGCCCCCCAGGGACCCTCAGATGGTCCACATTTTTGCTCCAACCAAACTCACAATGCATAAGGATAGAGCAAAAATGTGGACCGACTGCCCTAAAGAACCTTTGGAAATACTTTACTGAGGGGCAGCATTCATAAGGCCTACATAATTCACATAAACCTGTGAACATTTAGAAATGCTTATTCAAACAAGCGTCAATGCTGCTTTTGCCAATTTTGATATGATTCCACATTGTTACAACAACTGACACTTGTTGGCAGTAATTCTTTATGAACGCTTATATAAGGCTATGTTCTCATGACAGCTGACTTGAACCTACACAGGCATTTATGAAGGCTTAATCCAACAAGCGTCAGTGGCCATAAAGGATGCTTTTGTGATGCGACTTCACTGACGCTTGCTGGAAGCCTTTAATAACACCTATGTAAGTTTGTCAGTTACCACAAAAGGCAGGTGCTGTTTATCCTTAATAGCTGAGATTCTCTGCTTTTGACAATTTAGATGTCCAAAAATGATGTCTCTATAAGTTTATGTCAGTTGTCATAAAAGGCTTATGTGGGTGTTGAGTCACCTTTTGAATGAAACCCTTTAGTAAGGTGTTTCTGAACTTTTTACTTGATGTAATGAAATTCTGTAAATGAGATGTGCAAGTGTATAGAACATCTGGTCCTAGACCAAACCTTTTTTTCTAGAGCCATACTTCCAAGCCTAGAACCATTTAGAAACCGACCAGGACTTGACATGTCTACATCTAGGCTACCCACATCCACACAGACACGTAGAGCTGACTAATGCAACAGCAGGTCCTCATACTTAAAAGAGCTGCTGTGCACCTTAAACAGATGTTTTTTTTAAATTACACTACACTACAAATAAAGACCATGCAGCTCTGAATGAACCTACTATGAACAAATTAGTTATTGCTGAAAATCTAGCAGGGCTACTAGATAAGCCTTTGACAGTAACTATTATGGTACCTTGGATTCACCTTAGAAGCTTGTCTGTCTTATTCACCTAACAGTTCCGTCAGTTTCCACTTCAGGTCACCACCAATAGTTCACGCTGTGCATGAACGTATTTATTAGCCCATCTCAACCAACCGCTGACAGCTCATTTTGTGTTGATAGAATCATCCACCATTTAAACACTAATGCACACACACAGCACTGGTATACAAGAGAGTTGCGATGGTTAATGGCTGCCAGGGAGCAAAGATGGTGAGGGAAGAAGAAGAAGAAAACACTTTTTTGCAAAAAGCTGCAACCTATAATTTCCAATCCCTCAAATTGCAGTTCTGCAAGTCTGTTAAAAGAGCTGATTTTAGAACAATGTGCACTAGAAAGCAAGCGTCTGGCGATTGGACTTTGGATTGCGGCAACATTTCTCGCTTTGATCGTTACAATGTGACCTTGTATTCTCTCTCCAAGAGTAAAATATCTCCTTATTAGAAAAAAGAAAGCATTCTTAAAAATTCTGTCTGACTGAGCAGCCTGTGATCAAAGCGCCGCTGTTTGCACCTTCTCAGTCTTTTGCTTGTGGCAGGATCTTCGCTTATTTCACGATTCAGGTTTTATTTAAATTTGAGACTCACGCCAGAGATCAAAATCTAGGGCTCAACTAACAATTACTTCTACAATCTATCTATAATCTATCTATAATTATATGAAAAATCAACTAATTGAATCAGCTCTGCCCCTGTAACAGTGCCATCATCAAGTTCTGACATCGAAACAAGCAGTTTTTTTTTACTTAGACCACAACAAATCAACAGAAGCCACGGCCCCTATGCTTCCTATGGTGTATTAGAATTTATCAATAAATGATACATTGTTGGCATGCAGCCCTACTCCAGCTGTCCATCCTACCCTTCACTCACCTCATATGACCAGACACACTGCACCCCAGCGAATCGGCGCACGCAGCGCCCCACCTCCACATCTTCGTGGGTGGTGTACATCTCCTGCAGGCACTGGCGGATGTGGGGGACCATCCGGCGCAGCACCTCGCGGCTCATGATCACGCCCGGACCGCCCATGCAAAAGTTCTCACCGGGCTCCAGGGCCAGCTTGCCCAGCTCGTCCCGGGCCCCCATCCCCGTCTGGCCAAGGAAAATGGCCTCGCTGCTGTTGAGGCTCCTCAGGAAGCTCTCCAACCGGTCGCTCTTGATGTAGACATCATCGTCCGCACGCATGAACCACTCAAACTGGTCCAGGTAGTGGTCATGCATGTACTTGAGCATCATGAAGGACTTCTTTTGAGGCGGGTAGGAATCGTCCACGTTCTTTAGGGCTACAATGGGGATGGGAATGGAGGTGTCGGAGCCTTCGCTGGAGAAGAACTCCACTTTACCTGGAATGGTTTGGGCCCAGGTCCTACACAACACACAGAGATTAAGGAGAGTGAGCAAATGGATCTTTAGAACAACCACAGCTTGTGAATAACTATACTTTTTATCATAGAGTGAATCTATTCTATTCAGATATGGTTGATCACAATACAAGCCATAATATTTTAGGTACTGATGTTGGATGATCAGTTCTGGACACTCCAACTCATCCCAAAGATACTGCATGGAGCTCCATCACTCCAGAGAACACAGTTCCACTGCTGCTTGGCCCAATGCTGGAAAGATTTACACCTCTATTGGTGATGCTTGGCATTGGGCATTCTGGTGGTCAGTGCTTTTCTACTGAAATTATACAAGTTGAGCGTGCTCAATATGAAGCATCATTGGCAAAAAACTAGTGGACAAAATTCCACTCCTCTCTCCTTTGTTGCAGTCATCTGAGGCTTAAGCTGGGGATGACCTTGGGCACGCCCAGAGGAGAAGGTAAGAGCATGTGGAAACTTTCACATGAAGTGCTGCTTTTGTCCTGCTAGTGCACACGGCCCTCACTTCTCCACACACAAAGTCCATGCCACTCTCAAACAGAGAATATGAGGATTACAAAAACGCCATTCACAGCGGATTACATGGAAGCACTGTGTAACTCAATGCTTCGAGGTAAACCTTGATATGAAAATGAACTATTATCTGTAGCCTCTATGCAAAGTGAGCCTACAGTATGAGGGTTATCTCTTAGAGCAACGCTGCTGCAAAATAGGTTAATCATAAAATCAAATGAAATCTATTCTGGGCTTGATGTGAGGCCTTTTTAACACAATATCCTCTGAAAACAAGACAAGAGTGCCTTCTTCAAAATGCATTAGTGTGGCCCACATGACTGCATGTAAAAAGACAGTACTGTTTGGACAGCATGCTTTCTTCACAAGCCAATATCTAATTTTACCCTTTAAAAAAAAGCACACAGCTCCACAACCCCTGCCACTTCCCAGCAAGAGACACTGATAAACACAGAAGATCACTCTGGACATCATCACTTTGTAAATAAAGACACCGTGAGAAAAGTGGTGACCACTCCAGGGTGGGGCATGCCTTTGTGGCTATGTACATTGAGATAACATTCAGAGATAACCTATGTTAGAGCTGAATGGGTTGAGCTCACAGATGGAGGCAGACAGGAAGAAATTTGGCAGTTTTTAAGCAGAGCTCACACTGTAAGTCATTTGAGGACGCAGTAATCTAACTCGATCGTGTTTAGGTGTGACTAACATGTGGACGGAGGGACTTTGGTGGACACAAAAACTAGCTACGGCTACTGCTTAGAACACACAGTAACCTGGTACCTTAAAGGAAAGCTCCCCCACTTTCAATTAAGTGCCACATAATTAAATGGTTAAGATATAAGCAAAGTCATTCAGAGTGGTGTGAAACGATCTGTTCTAAAGAATCATACGGAGTCAAATTTGTTTACAGTAGTGGTGACAGGAACCAGATGTCCACCTCTAAAAGCTCCTTCACAGAAAGTTGTTAGGACTACACTACAGCTTTGTGATGAAGCTTTGGTCTAAAACATCTTGTTAAGGTGTGAGTCAAAGAAAACTTTTTTTTTTTCTGACTCTCCGCTATTTTCCATCATCAAGAGTCCATATAGAAACTCAGAAGACACGTGTACGATCACTAGTGGTTTTGAATAGTAAATAAAATGGCTATATTTGTGTTGTAAACGTGGTGACCCCGGTTCCTATCACCACCATTTTCTCTACAAATAAATCATTTTACACCAAACCACTCAGTGACTTTATTTACACCTTAAACATTTAATTATCTGCAACTTTTGAAAAATCGGTGGAGTTCTCCTTTAAAGCATCTTTTGCCTTAGGGGCTAAGTAAAGGACACAAAAACGCATGGCCACATGTTAGATCTGATAAGAGAACTCAGCCTAGCAGCTAAACGCTGAATTTTTGGCGTGATTGTCCACTTTTTGTCCAAAACATCGTCCATTTCTCGCGTCTTGTGGCTCATATGTGTGCGCTTTCTCATTATTATTAGGCTTTTACCCCCTTCCACCCTGAATGCAGCTGCCTCGCTTTTGTTCCCCCTCTTCTTTTTCCCCCTTTCCTTCCTCACCTATACGCCGCCACGGCTCGGTTATCTAGGTACTTCTGGGCCGTCATAACGCCGACGAAGAGGAAATGTCCAGCCTTCTGACCGGATCTCTCCGTCGGCAGGGCTGAGTGGTCCGGCGGCGGTGGTGGCCACATCAGCAGACCGCCGTGCTCCCTCCTCAGCCCGGCGCCTCCTCCTCCGCCTCCGCAGCCCGCCGCTCCTCCGCTTCCTCCGAGCACACTCGCCTTGCGTTTGTGTCCCGCTTTCTTCAGCTCGGTGGCCCGCGGCAGAATGAGCCTGGAAGCCAGAGTGAAGCCGACCACCAGCCCCAGAAGAACGCTGAACCAGGCTCTGCGGCTTCTCCCAGCCATCCCCCCCAGCTTTCTAATCTCCACCTTTCCTTTTTTGTCTCTACAGAGTCTGTTTAAGGAACCGTGTGCCGGTTAAACCGCAGCAACAGCGGCGGCGGCAGCAATGTGGGTGTCTCTGCCCCGCTCCAGCGCCCCGCACTCGGACTCTCTCATGGCAGGAGAGCCGCCGCTGTCTGTGGCGCTCCGGCTCCGGCTACTCGTCCACGTTGCAGCACGGCAGTAGCGCTCTCCGCATGCCAGGCTGAGCTCCAACACCTCAGTGAGTGAGTCACAGGCTCGGACTGAATCTGCCCCCGTTTCGGCCTGAGAGCGGCGCTCCGACCCTCCAGCGCTGCTCTCTATCTCTCTCACTCACTCAGATCGCCATCAGAGCTCCGACACGCAGAGGAGCCAAACGCTGCTTCTTCTGCTGCTGCTGCCGCCGCTGCTGTACATACAGGAGGCGCGTGCAGAGCACACAGCGCCCCGCACCGGCCACCAGCCGCCATCACAGGGCACGCGGGGGGAGGGGAGTTCATTAAAGGGCCCATATCACGGGAAACTCAGTTCTCCTTTGATTTTTGGAAGTAAAAGTGTTTCAGACCTGCGCAAAACACACTAACACACCACCACCACCACATCAGTGTTGCTGCAATGCTGAGAATGACACACCACCTAAATAGTACCTGCTCTGTGAGGGTCCATGGGGGTCCTGACCACTGAAGAACAGGGTAAAAGGGGGCTAACAAAGTATGCAGAGAAACAGATGGACTACAGTCTGTAATTGTAGAACTACAAAGTGCACCTATATAGTAAGTGGAGCTGATAAAATGGACAATGAGCGTAGAAACAAGGAGTCATAATGTTATGCCTGATCGGTGTAAATATACATATATGTATGGAAGCAAGGAAAACAAATAGAGCCTTATTAGTATTATTACCTCATTTATTTCCAACTATTTATTCACACACACACACACATGCGCACACACACACACACACACACACACATATATATATATATATATATATATATATATATATATATATATATATATACGAATAAACTTCGTCAAATAAATAACAAAGACTAGAAGTAATTTCACAGACGTTGAAGAAAGAAGAAGAAAGACAAAGAAAAAGAACAAAGCAGCAAAATAATGAATTAATAATAAAAACAACAACAACAACAACAACAATAATAATAATAATAATAATAATAATAATAATAATAATAATAATGAGAAGATCTTTGTTTTTTTAACTTCGTACTATGTACTGTATAATTAACGGACACAGCGCCATCTACTGCACTGCAGTCAGTATTACAGGGATGTGACAGGGACAAAGGAGAATAAATAACAATATAATAATAACTGTAAAAATATTTTTTCCTTGCTTTTAATTCGCCATATCTATAGTTAAAATACTGCAATTAGTTTTACAGATTAGATTATATGCAGAGAATTAATAAATTACTTAATAGAAGAAAGAATAAGACAGTGTGTATAAACACACTATCATACTGCAGTCAGAATTACAGGGACAGAGAGAGTGTAGAAGTGAAGTTATGTAATTAATACTATTTTTTTTTTGTTTTTAATTCACTGTACAGTCTGAAAAACCAAAGACTAAAAAATGACACAAGTGTGACACATTAAATGCATAAAAATATATATGCAGTACATTCATTGTGTAGTACAGCAGTGCTTTATTGAATCATTGTCTCTCAGCTTGGTCAGAAATCTGCTTCACATTTCTTCACAGACGACTCCAAACTGTTCAGGGCTTTCAGGGCTTTCAAGCCCAGATCTCTGTGTGTCACTGTCTCCATCTAGAGGTGAACATACACTACAGACCTGCAGTCCGCCTGTACTGCTCAGTGGATCTTCTCTCCTAACAGACTGATTCAGTTGCAGTAGGACTGGATCACTGTCTGATGATGTGCAGGCATATCAAGTGGACTAGAGGACCTGCTTTATTAAGGACATTAAATGAAACTCAAAGGGGAATTCCACCAGCTTTTCAGAATTTCAGTGTAATGAAATAATTAGGATATAAACAAAGCAAGTCAAAATTGTTCACAGTTGTGGTGAAAAGAACTATATGTCTGAAGTGGTTAATGTCTCTAAAACAGGACTGTGTACACTCTTATCCACAAAGGGCCAGTGTGGCGGCAGGTTTTCATTCCATCACCTGTAAAGTTGTTTGAGGAGTGGGCAACTGATTAAACTAGCAGAATCAGATGGGCCTCTAGTACTATCCTCATTTGACACACATGTATTGTGAGCAAAAATAATACCCAATGAAAAAAAAAAAGAATTCACCACTCTTTCTCATTATGAAACTGTAGGTTCACTAGTGGTTTTGGATAGCAAATAAAATGGCTATATTTGTGTTGTAGTCATGGTGACCCCTGGTTCCTCTCACCACCACTGTAAAGAAATCTGAGCCAGATCTTCTATGTAGGGATGGATTACTGACCAGGCCAGTGCCCAGCGGCCTCTGACTGCCAGGGCCCTCGGAGGGTCTCAGACCACTGGCTCAAAGACTAGGGACAGTCCACAGCAGATGCAAAAATTAGATGAACTTGCCCTTATATGCAATGATTAAATAAATACTCATACCCTGCCTGCAATATTTTAAATAATTCAACGCCCCCATACACCAAAAATGTATAGAAATACAACTGTAGGAAATAACAGGCTATTGCACATTATTTGAGAATTAATCATTTTGGTTTCATTACATTCTTCCAGCACTGCCCAAAGCACACATAAACAAGCATGTTGGTTTATTAGAGGGACATTTTTCATGTAATTAATGTTTCCTTGAGGTTCACTCAGTTGTGTTTTTATGAAATCATCCATTTTCCAACCAAATTATACAGGCTGTTTTTATAACAGTGCCTATAAGATGGAAATATGCAAATGACCTCTGTTCTGATTGGCAGTCCTGTATTGTGCCTCATTCAAAAAGCACCCCAGGCTGAAACACTCAACCAGGCCAAACTGCTATAGACTGAAAAGGTGGATATATGCAAATGCACAGGTTTTCATGACATCACTGACACAATGAATTCCAAACGAGCTTTTTGTTAACAGCTTTACATGTATGGCATCATCACGTACTGTTGTCAGCTCCATCCAGTAAAACATCCAGTCTTCTTCTGTGTAATTTGATAAAGCGCTGAGATAAATAGCTTCAACTTGAAATCAAAGCTTTAGTTTTTGTTTTTTTGTCAATTTGTGAGTGAGAGAGAGAGCGAGAGAGAGACTAAATCAATGTTCAGTGTTTTCATCTCCATCCTATGGTTTCACTTTTTAGGATGAATTCTCATTGATGTGATGACATGAATAAACCAAGTTTAGGAGAACAGATTATTTTTATCCCTCTAAAAAATCCCACACATCAGTCTCATGTAGGAGCTCTATTCTATGTGCAGACAGGCCCGCACATACATAAATATATATATATATATATATATATATATATATATATATACACACACACACACATCACTGTTTTAGCAGTCGTTTGCTCGTTTCGAAATTATATCAAATTAAAGTCATGCTGAAGCTGTTAAACTAGCCAAACAACATTTAATTTTCCAAGCAACAATTTCACATCAAGGGCTTTTCATTTCCTTAACTGTTTGCTTAGAGCAGCTTTCCCCACTTACCTACTGATTTAAGAGACTGGCGGTAGAAACACTAATTTATTCACAAAATCTATGAAATGGTTCATCTCTCTGTAACACTTTACTAAATGTGCTCTCCAGTCAGATCTGAAACATGCTTCTCAAACTACTGTAAAGTGCAGCCTTCAAACCTAACATCACTAATAAATAAAAAAGTCTAGCAGGTCAAAAAGTTTACAAACTGAACTATGAAGTCACTGAGCTCTAGCCATTCTACTGCTAATGCTTGTCAGATCATATTGTGAAATTTGGCTTTTGAATCAGGTTGGAGAAACTGATTTATTTTACTTGAATATTTCAAATGGCTTTCTGACACAATTGAGAAATTTAGAAAAATTGGTGGAATCACCCTGCATTAACCTGTGTCTTCCTACAAATGTAACATTTACTTTTTATCTGATGTTTAACAGTAAATGAGACAATTAGATGTGCATGCTAAGTAAAGCCTTTTAATTGTGAAATATGCATAGCAAATACAATAAAATGCAATCAATTAAAGACACTTGATGTTACCCAAATAATATTTCTCTACAAAAAAACAAAAAAACAAAAAAACAAAAACCACATTGTTTAAGAGGACACAAATCCTCAGAAGTAACTGTTCTGTTTAATAAGTTGAGACAGCTACCCTTAATGGAAAGTACTTTGAACCCTACAGCAGTAGCCATCTGAAAGATCTACACAGACTTGGAGTGCATGTAGCACAGCGTTTTTTTAATGTCCACACAGGACACAGGACCACACAGACGCAACTGAAAATCATCAGCCAACCCCACTGGCCTGAGTCCCTTTGATGAGGAGGCATCATTAGAAGCTGTCAATCTCACATGGCTCTTAGTTTTTGATCCTATAAAATCAGCAAATGCTGAGATATTCACAAAGCAGGATTGCAGTAAAAGGGCCATTATGGCATTTAGAATTTAGAAAGTAGAATTTAATATCTTCAAATATTTGCAACAAAAGTGCTTGTAGTTTAGAAAAAGTTCCTCCCACCTTCAAGATACGTCATTAGAAGGCAGTTTTCCTAGTATTTACACATGAAAATCTCACTCTAGAGAGTACTGCAGCACCTCTGTAGGATGTGAGTAAGCATGTTTAGAGACAAAAAAACTTCGTTTCAACCACAGTGCCCCTTTAAGTTGGAAAAAAACATTAAATATTCAAATATGATCTATAATCGTTCTGTAGCACAATTCCATTAGTGAGAATGATTATCCTGCTTGGAGAATTCTCTCTGCTTTAGCAAATAAAAGCCAAAAAGCCAAAAGAGAAAATCCTAAAACATTTAAAATCAACAAAAACGGTTTTCAGTAAGGCCACTGAAGTAAAAATTGACTGATTCTGAGGGTAAAACAGGAGCATTATTCTTAATTGAGCCTACTGAACCATGGTGAGTGCTGACAGCTTCATTTAGTTGCTAATCATGTGCTCCTTTGCCGGAGGTCAAAAGGTCAGAGGTGACTAGAACCGTGTCCCTCTGACCTCCTTTAACCTCATCCACCAGCTGAGGGCCCTCTTCTGCCTGGCCTCCATGCACAGGTTCCTCCGCCTTCGCCGCTCAATGGATTATAGCCTAACACAGAAACAAACACAGAGCTTAACATACAAACTGACAGTTATACAGAGTACACGAATATCAGCTTTTCACGGCTCAACGCTCAAAAAAGTACTCTACTCGTCTGTTGTTATTTTCTATTTTTTATCTATGACCGTAGTATTCCAGTCTGATTTCAACTGCGTTTTCCTAGCATCTAGTTTTGGACTCGATAAGATTTGTACTTGTACTTGTCTTGGTTTTGATAGCATCCGCACTTGGACTTGTCTTGGACTCGACTGTATCTGTATTTGGACTTGATAGTATCTGTACTTGGACTTGTCTTGGACTCAATAGCATTTGTACTTGTCTTGGTCTCGATAGTATCTGTACTTGGACTTGTCTTGGACGTGATAGTATTTGTACTTGGACTTGTCTTGGTCTCAAGAGTATTTGTACTTGGACTTGTCTCGGACTCAATAAGATTTGTGCTCTGACATGTTTTGGGCTCTGCCATTGGGTAAAATACATATATTTTGTATTTTATTTCTTTTAACTGTCACCAAAGCACTCTGGCATATTCAACCAACACAAATAAAAATTGAAAAAAGTTTGATTCAGCCAGGACAGATTCCTTTAGAGCATTAAAGGCCAAGAAAAACTGCTGCTGCACAATCATCTTCAGAAAAATTGTTGGAGACAGAGTGTTCTAAACTTTTAATCCATACCACATTTGTGTTTGGAAGTAGAACAGGAGATATTTTATTAGGATTTGGATTTAATGAATTTGTTCCGCGGAAAAAACTGTCCTTTGCACTCTTTCCAAACTGGTCAATTCCTGACACTGAAACAAAGAGAAAGAGAGTAGAAGCGTAGAATCGAACCTGTCAACACAGAAGGTAGTCCAAATATAATTTAACACATAACTATGTAATTACAAAACATCATTTAAACAGTAGCAAAATTCTAAGTGTTAATTCTGTTGCTCAAGTGACTCTTAAAGGTGCAGCTCACTTCTACAGAACTCACCAAACAATTTGACTGGAAAAAGTTAAAGACTAGTTAAGGCTTGATAAGACTTGATTTTTTTGGTTCTTGATCTTGACTCAGCCTCGTTCTCATTTGGACTCGGCCCTCTTTAAGTTTGGTCTTCTCTCTATCTTGACTAGTTAGTCTTGGCCTGTCTTGGACTTGACAAAGGTGGTCTTCACTAATGTCCTATCTATGACTAATCTCAGACTTTTATAAGCCAGGAGTCAATCCTATTGAGCCAAACAAGGCCACTGTTAAATGATATGAAAGACAAAAATAAGTCCACAGTAACATTCGTGAGCTTATGGCAGACAACCAATTAAAACGGAAAAAACACATCTGTAACAAAAGACGTAGTAATATAATAATACCACTGGTTCGAAGGGGTTTTTTGTCTGTTTTTGGCTTCAGCACTGTTGAGGAAGTTGCAGCCTCATCGCTGTTCTGTGACAAACCAGAAAAAGAGCACATAATGAAGTTAGGACTTTACATTTGAAGCCTTAATGAGAAGAATTGAAAGAAGTCAGAATTAACGGCGACATATTACTTGTGTAAGATTTGCATTCCCTTTGTAACTCTTCCCTTCTTTCATGCTCTCCCACTTCTCAATTTTCTGCTGTCTTTTCTCCTCCTCCATCTAGAAGACAAGAAGAAGGAAATGTGAAATATTTGTTAACTGGATATACAGTTTTGTTAAAGGGAAATTCCACATTTTACCATTTCTACATAATTAAATCATTAGTTAAGTCAACTTTATTGTCAATACTACAATATGTACAGGACATACAGAGTATTGAGAATACAGAGTATTAAGATGTAAACAAAGTCATTCAGAGTGGTTTGGTGTGAAATGCTCAGTTCTAGAGAGACAAACCAAGTCAGAACTGTTCACAGGGGTGGTCATAGGGACCAGACGTCTGAAGCATTTAATGCCTCTAAAAGCTACATCACCAGGAGGTTTTTACATGAAATACGGTACCTTGTGTCTGAGACATTGTTTTAGGGTAATTTCAGATAGTAACCTATCTTTTTTTTTTTGTTTGGAGGGCCATGTAGCCCTAACACTTCACCCTACCCCTCTATCTCAACAAAAACCAGGACACCCTACCCCTAGACGTGAACGCGCAAAACAGGGGGGTAACGCTAAGTGGTAGGGGCAAAGGGTGAAATGGGATTGGGCCACTGTAGAGAAACAACTCTGTTGAACCACCACTGTAAAGAAATCTAAAGAGAGTCTGTGTCTCTACAACAAACCATCTCACATTAAAACACCTGAACACTTTGTTAGGGCTCAATGACTGACTTAGACATTATCTGAAAAAGTCTGGCTCTCACTCTCTGTTGTTTCTCTTTGAACTCTGCAGCTTTGGCATTGAGCTCTTCTTGCATTCTCCGCCGTGCTGCCTCCAAAGCCTCCTGACGTCTCACCACGGACGCAGGATCTGGCGATGACAAATCAGTTTGCTTATTTTGTGTTACGTTTGTTTCGTTCGGTGTTCTTTAGCAAATGGCTCATATTCTCAGTACTGACCTTGGCTGGTTGCTGCAGCTGAGCCACGATCCTGACTGGGTCTGTTCTTACTGAGATGTTGAATAAGGAGATAAACTCCCCCACACAGGACCAGGAGGTACCACCCATAATCAGACAGAAAAGTGGAAACTGTAGGCAAAGAGATGATTTAGAACTACAATATAAGCATCACACAGGTACTCAGACTCTGGATCTCCAGAGGCGAGCTCATAGCTTTTTAACAATGGCATTAACCATGTTTCTGAGCAGATACATTTTGTTTCCCAGACTCAGATTAATTCTAATCCTAGACTAAACAGGATTTGTAAGGACACAACACCACTGGCGTTGGTTTTTAGTCAAAGACAAGGCTTAAGGCTTTCCATTTCCATGAAACTGGCTTTACATATCCAAATGAGATTCTGCAGTAACTGTACTATTATGGGAAGACTTTAGATTAGATATTGGAATGTCACTGTATGGAACACCACACCCACTGGTTACAGTGTCCAGATCCCCATGGATCTGGAGACTGTAACCAGAAGCAGTTTCTGGATACTTTTGGACATATGATGTAGACTCTTAAAAAAGATATATGGAAGCATTTTCATACTTAAATGGTTCTCTGCATGGTGAAATGGTTCTTCAGACTAATTGAGGATGTGTAGTATATGGTTCTATATAGAACCTTTTTCAAACTGGTTCTATATAACACCAAAAAGGCTACTTCTATTGTTACAAGTTTGATGTGACAATAAGAGAACCCATTTTGGTGCTATATACAACACATTCTCCATTAATCTGAGGAAGCATCTCACCGTAGAAAGAGCATGATCCTGAACACAAGCGTTCCCTTTACTAAACAATCCTTAAAGAACCATCTCTTTTAACAGTGTAGCTAGCATGTTGGCTAACAAGAGTACATCATCATCACCTAGATCGTTTTCATATATTTATCTTTAAAACACCTTACAGCTTTAAACCTTTACAGCTATCTAAGTAATGTCTAAAAACAAATTACTCGCACAAAAACAAGTCAGAAGGAAGAGAACTGAGAGAACGGCACCCTCCCAGCTTCAGCTTTCAGTTTACAGAGTGAGTCAGCTAGTAAACAAACTGGTTAGCAAGTCAGCTTTACGAACCTTTATCTACCACCGAATATTGTGAATATAGTTTTGTGTCAAGCTAATAGTGAAAACAGATAAAATAGACACATATTTAGTACACAGTCCTTATATGGTCGAATTTCGTACCAGATGTCAGGAGGAAACTCATATCCTGGTTCTCCAGACTCGCATCTTCGGCTGCCGCTCCCGCTGCTCTGATGTCAGCGCCGTTGTCTGCCTCCATTTTTCAGTAACACAAAGGGATTTTTGCCGAAAAAGGAGGCAGACGATGTTGTTATATTTCGGCAACAATTTCACTGATAAAAACCGTGGTTATTTGCGCATTTTGAAGCGTATCTGTGAGCGAAGTAGCCTGCTAGCACTTCTCAGCCAGATAGGATTTCCTGAGTCCAACGATGACGTGGACGAAAGATTTGAAGGGGCGGGGCGTTTATGGATTCTAAAATTGCATTGGCTGCTGGCCCGACTATATTATGCAAACTATCTTTTGCAGACCCAATCAGAAAGCAGCGATACAGCGTCCTGCTCGTCGCAGCGCCATGGCCGGTTTAAAGGGAGCATGTAAAACGCCAGAAGGCGCCTGCGAACGAGTCGTCAATGGATTTTTTTTTTTTTACAGTAAATGTGTTTGGGCAGTAGGCCTTTAGCATTACTGCTACTGAGTGCTGATTGGTTAGCATTACTGCTACTGAGTGCTGATTGGTTAGCGTTACTGCTACTGAGCGTTAATTGGCAACCTATGGAAGCCCATTTCTGCCACTGAAAAAAATATTTAAATATTTATTAAGTCATAATAATGAGAAAGTTTCCCATAATTCCGACTTCCTATATCATAATAATGAGATACTATGTCTTTGTACTCTCATGACTTAACAACTCATTAGTATGACTTGCTATCTCATAATTATGGCTTGTCATTGTAATAATAATATCCCATTATATGCACAGTTTCTCCTAATTTTGACTTAGTGTCTCATAATTATGACTCACTGTCACAGTTGTTTTACAATCTCATACTTAAGACTTAGTATCTCATAATAATCATTTACCACCTCATTGAGTTCTTCACATTCATAATTATGAGAAACTTTCATATGACAATATTCTATATGGTCTTTTCTTTCTTTTATCGAGTGGATTTCGAATGGATTTCCATATCAACCTTACTCCAAATGACTATATAGGACAACTTTTTTGTTTGTTTTACATATTTTCAGAACCCTAGCCTCTGTTTTGTGTATGGTGTAGTGTGTTGGATAGTGTACACATTTGTAGTAAGCTTGCATAATGTATATTTTAAATTTCCACTGTTGCACTTCCATGTTTGCCAGGATTCTATAGAATTTTGTAAAAATAATTAAATGCAGTGTTAACTTTTATTAAATTCTAATAGTGTTCTGGCCTAATGTTGAAGTGTGGGTCTTCATCTTCACACGCAGCAGCCCCACCCCGTATCCTTTATCAGAGACGAAAAAGCTAAATCCCACAAAGTAACCGGTCCTTTCTAGTCAGCCAAGGATACATAGCTGCTGGGAAATTGTACTGACCTTTAGTACCCAGGTCATCGGCTGTCTTCAAATTTAAGTATGAGACCAAAACTGTGCAATTCATACCACTGAACAGAGAGCTGAGCTTAATTTAAGAACTACTGAATCTTTATTAATCCATAGATTCATTGTACATACATGCACGTTAAAGAATCATGGTTCTGCAGAAATGTTATAAAACTCTAACCTGATTTAAGTATCCTGGGTAGATTTCGGAGCAAACCTTCAAAATCAACTCAAACACAAACACTGTTTATGCAATTTAGTTTAATACAAAATTCCAGTGGGTTGAATGGACCTCAAAAGTTAATATTTACAAAAGAAAGCCAAAGCAATTTTATTACAAATATTGGTTTAATGTGTTTAACTTAAAAAAATAAAGATGGCAAAACACATCATATGCTCTGCCAGACATACACACTAAATCTCCAAAGAAGGACTTGAGACCTCTACTGGTTATCCACACATAATATGAACTACGACCCATTAACATGCATGTCTTCCTCCATGTTGTTCATTCCATCCTGATCCTCTCCTCCTTCCATCTCATCTCCACCACCAGCCTCGTACATCGATACAGACTCAGGCTGCATCCCCCTCTCCATCTCCTCTTCCTCTTCTTCCACCATGCTCTGTGCATCTAAAGTATTAGGCAAATAAAAACTTTACCTCAGTGTCCAACAGCAAATTTCACATTTTTCACAAAGCAGGTCATTAACACTGCTTACTGAAGCTGGCAATGCCGAACACACTGAGGGAGCAGCAGTGATTTCACCCTGTTTAATTTGAGCTCAGCACACCATGAGTGCGCTTACATGCACTTAATAATCCGCTAACTGCAGAAAATCAGATTTTGTCAGTAATCTGATCAATGCACTTACACGAACTTGAATAATCAGATAATGTGAAAACACCAGGTCTACATGAGTCAGACAGTAATTGGATTTCTGCTTTGCAACCAGCCAATAAACTCACAGAAGATGTGGCATAAACGTAATGTAAAATTCAAACTTCATGCTGCGGCATGAGAAAATCGTGGCAACGCTGCTTGCTTATTTCTGGTACAGCTGTCTGTTTTCGCACATTTGAAAGAAATCAGAGTTAGAGTTTACATGCACTGATAAATCTGATTACTGAGCTAAAATCCCACTCTCTTTATCAGATTTCTTAATTAGATTTCTAGATCGGAGTATGGTGTTTACATGACCATTTTAATAATCAGGTAACTGCAGAAATCAGATTATGATCGGATTATTACGTGCATGTAAACGCACTCAATGTGAAATGTTCAATAAAAATCATTGTATCCAGAGTTTTTGAAGGCTGTTTTGAAATGTGGCACCACTGGTGTATTGTGTCCAAGTCAAAATAGCGTGTATCGTGTATTGTGAAAATACATATTGTGAAAATGTCTAAGTATCGTGGAGTAATACATCAAAATATTTAAAGACATTTTCACAATATCCATCACAATGTTTAGTTTTTCCAAGACTTGCTCAGTTGGAACAGAGAAAAAGGCCCAGAAATAGTTTTATAAACTATTTCTAACTTCAATAAAAGATTCAACATTTCATATACTGCTCTGCACTGAATTCAATTAAATAGGACTAATTGTGTTCTCTCTGTAATGACAGTTGTTCTTAAGTACCGACTATATTAACACTGCCATTTTGGGAAGAACTTATTGTGAAGAAATTCACAACAAAAAAAAGTTGCCATATTGCCCAAAATTAACCATCTGAATAATCACAAAACTGTTGAAATCAGATAATGATTACATCTCTAGTGCACATGTGAACACTACATCATTAAATTTAATAAGGTACTCCTGATAGAATTGAACAAATTAATGCAATGGCTGGAGTGCAGCGAGAAGTCAGGAACCAAACCTGCTTTCTTCTAACTATTCTTATAACCAAGATTTCTTTTTGTATAAAACAAAAAAATAAATGTTTTGTTGCATTAATTATCTAGAATCACATATAAAAGCATCTCAAATCTGACTAGAAAAAAAAATGTGCACCACTTTAACCTCTGTAGCCCAAATTATTTCAAATAGGCCTGAAATGAAAGAAATGGCTGCACAAGTGATGAGTGTGTCCATTACCTTGTCTGTTTTCCCTTCCAGGGATCTGGCCAGACTGGAGCAGTCCCTTCAGCCTCTCCACCTCAGCCAGTGATGTGGCATTTGCGATGGCATTCTGTGGGCAATAACAGTTATTTAGCAAAAACAATACAGCATTTCAGATGAACCAAAACATTCAAAAACAGTCAAATAATTCAGTGCCTTGATAGCTTCCACATCCGCCGCAGATGGTCCCATCTTCTTTTTGTCAGCCTGCAGGCCAGCTCCCGGAGTGAACCTACAACACATTCAAGCAGACAGCAGATCTTACAAGCTTGTTCAAAGTAGACCTGCTTCTTCAGTCTTTTAACCACTGTTCTTCCAATCAGAGTGTAGTATCTTGTGTATCTTATCTGTTGTTAATAAACTGATACAAACAGAGAAGTGCCTTGAGCCAGCTCTCCTGGAATACACTGTTTATGGATTGTGATCTTATTCCTCTTTTAAGCTTAAGGTTTTAAGATAAGCCAATTCTGATGAACTGCATTGTTTTACATGGGCTCCAGAGCAGGTCATGGAGATTATAACCCAGTTCCATGAGTCCAGTGATTCGGAAGAGCTGTGCTTGATCAAGGGGTTTCGTCTTACGTTTTCGTGCGCTTGGCAATATCCTTTGCAAGCTGAGCACCTCGTTTGCCTTTGAACATTTTCTCAGCCTCTTGACGTTCCTACAGTGATACATCACAGAGTTAAAGTGAAATGCTAACAAAAAACACCACGACATCGACCAGGATGTGTCACTTTGAGCATTAAGAATTCAGAACCAAAAGTAGCAGGTGTTGTGCATCAAACTCAAGAGCTAGTGTCCTTTTCTAGAATCAGCTTTACTTTTATGATTTAAATATAGATTATATGGAGAAAGCAGCTCTAAAACGGCTTATATGAAACATATAGTGCAATAGATATGACAAACAATCTTCCAAAGCATTCATGCTGAGTAGCATGGATGGTTTGGTCAATATCCACATTAAGCTCCTTAACGGACAGCAAACTGATTTAAAGAAAATGTTTGGGTCACAAATTTTCACATATTAGCTGTTTGACAAAGTTCTATCTTAAACATTACTAAGCCCATTAGCTACTGACTTCTTTGTTGAGTCTCTAAATCAAGATTTGAGATGTACAATACCTTTAGTTTGACCTTCTGGAAGTCCAGAACACGTATCTGTGGAAGCTTGTTAATGACATACAGCCTGTAATGCTTCTTATTGGTTACTGGATTCCTTAAAAGACTGAGGGGGAGAAAAAAAAATATCACATCCACAAATATATTTAAAGACATAAGTTTAAATTTTGTTTGAATAAACCTCAATGTCTAAAATGTACTACTCAGCAAGTACCTGAGAAGAGTTAAGGTCTTCACTGAAGCAAGAGGATCCAGATCACCCTGTAAAAGAATGATAAAGGACAACATCACATTCAAATACACAACTGCAACAGGACAACATTTTATTTGTATTTTTGTTCAAAATGTCAGTATTCCATACAGACGTTACCACTGGAAACTAGAGCAAAGAGACAAAAATATAGCAACCCATCAGAGATCTGCATATAAACTTTTTGAGCAGGTGGCACTGGTGCTACAAAAGTTACAGGTGTTGTAGCACTGAGATAAAAACGACATAATACTTCAACAAAGTATTAATCATAATAAGTGGATCAATTTGCCATTTTAACAGAAGAAAAAAAAACAGAAGCAGCTTGTGAAAGTTCAGAATTTATCATCATTCTCAAGTAGTGTTTTTGTGCACCACTGAAAGGGAGGAAACCAAAACCAAAAAAAAAAAAAAACTTAAAAACACACATATGATTGCAGTCACAAATTTCTAAAGTGGAAGCAAAATATAATTTAACAGTAAGACTTAATATTACTTTATATGAAATTTTAATGTAATGAGTTTATTCTAAATAAATAAATAAAAGAATAAAGACAATAGGCACAGCAGGCTCAGCTTCAAAATCCAGGGAAATCTTTGACTGACAATAAAATGTGGCTTTACATATTTACATTAGAGCCCTAAACTCCAGCTTTTGGGAATTTTGTACTTTATGAGAGAGAAAAGGAAAGACAACACTGTGCATTGCATACATGCGCAAGTGTGTGACTGTGATCCTTTTTTATTCACACAGGATTAGCTTCTCCTTGCACATGCGGCTCACCACACAGCCCTGCATCACTACAACTTATCCGGTGAAATGGTGAGATGAATCTTTATCAAGGCAAGGCAGGGTCTCAGATGCTACATTAAGCCTATACATGCACAAAAAAAACAAGTTAACATTAGCAAGAAGAATTATTACATACCAGTTCTTGGATGTTATTACTTGTAAGAACCAGCTCCTTCAGGTTTGGCAACGACTGCTCAAGATTTTCCCCAATTCGGCTGCAATAAAAGATACATTAGTTGTAGCTCATTTGCAAACCAACACATTTTCACAGCTGTACTTCAGTTCTGGGTTTTCAGAACATAATATTCAAACAACTGGACATGCTTATTGTGCTAGTACAGTAACCATTTTGGATAATGTCCTTAACCGGACCCTTTAATAACATGTTAACTGAAAAGCTGAATTGTGTCTGCATTACATTTGTTGTAGCTGATGAAGAATGGGACACTAGCCCAAAAGATTTGTATTATATTCATATATTTTAGTGCTCATTAAACAAATGCATATGAACTCCTGAACAACCTTAACAGAACACATACTTTAACTTATCCCTCCTTTCTCAATTTCTGATTTTATATCAATAAATACATTTACTACATTAAAATGTACTCCTGTTTCTTCTGGCCCTCTCAGATAAAGTGAAGCCAGAAGCTAAACACTAGTCTTTCTTCTCTCACCAGATGCGGTTGTTGTTCATTAGGACCGTCTTCAGCCTCTTAAGCAGAGGGAACCCATCCAGCTTTCGGATCTCATTATCGGAGAAGTCGATGGTGTCAAACTGGTCCAGAGTGGCGCCGAGATTTTCCAGCACAGGGATTTTATAGCCTGAGACACAAAGAAATAAAGCATAAAGAAATGAGGTAGAACTTGGACTTGAGTACAGCAGTAAAGCTAACCAAGGTCTCCTTGCAGTTACTATGATCATGATCACAGAAATTCAGAGGTTGGTAGTAACTAGTTATATTTACTCTTGTACATGTACTCAAAATTAGGGAAGCCACCAATACAGGAAGTGTAATAGTATAATAGCAGACATTTTTAAGTAGCTATCTACTAAAGCCGATACTTAAACGTTTATAAAATACATACAAACATTTATAGAAAAAAATGATTATAAAAGGCATTAAAATAAGTTTTAAACATGGTAACATTTTGTATAACACTTCGACAACATCTTACTGTTGTGTTAGTTGCTACTGTTAGAACTGTGTATGAGAGAGTTTTTTTGTTGTACACACTTAAAAAGATGGTCTTTCAAGGGTTCTTTAGTAGAGGCAGTAGTTTTATTTAGAACAATGAGTTCTATATAGAATCATTTCATGCTTAAATGTTTCTTTACATGGTGAAATGGTTCTTCAGAGTGATGGAGAATGTGTTGTATATGGTTCTATTTTAAAAACTGTTCTATATAACACCAGAAAGGGTTCTTCTATTGTTACAAGCTTATCTTAATCTTAATAGCAGAACCCTTTTTGCAGCTGAACAGAACCATTTTCAAAAAGGTTATATATAGAAATACACAAAACACATTCTCGATCAATCGGAAGAACCATTTCACAATGCAAAGAACCATTTAAGCATGAAAATATTTATATACAGAACTCATGGTTCTGTATAGAACTTCTGCCTTTACTGAAGAACCCTTGAAGAACCATCTTTTTTAGTGGGTAAATAGCTAACTTAATGTTTGTAACGAGGCTAAAGTTGGCTTCCTATTTGCCAGCTTCTTGTTCGACTTTTCCCGTTCCACCTTAAATGGTGCAGCAAATACACAACGGAATGTAACTGCTGCACCATTTAAGGTGGAACGGAGTTCCAAGAAGAATCTGGCAAATAAGACACTGACTTTAGCTTTGTAGTTACGTTTAAAAAGGTCTCTTAGCTCTCAGGTCGAGCTCTCTGTGGTGTTTTTTTTTATTGTATATAATGTTTATAAAGGTCTCTTACCTCTCAGGTCCAGCTCTCTGTCTCTGACCGGGTTCGTGTACTGAGCGGCCTGCTCAATTAACTCTGCCGACAACTTCACCATGTCGACGATTAAAAACAGAAAAAATAACCCAAACAAATCAAACAAACCACATAAAGATCAAACTGTGGAGGTTCTCTCTTTCACCAGAGCGAAGCTACAACGCACACGCTGCCGCCAGGAAGTAGAAGTAGGCCGAAAAGCGGGGTCGAAACGCAGTGCTGCCCCCATCTGGCCCGGAGGTGCTCGCTCGCTCTATTTCTCACTGTGTGGGGAAACATGGTGAGGCTGTTTTCATGGCTCTTTTTGAAGTCCTACGCGGACTAGTACTACTATACTACTATATTGACCCCACACGTGTAATAACTATACTGAGGCCACCAATATATATATATATATATATATATATATATATATATATATATAGAGAGAGAGAGAGAGAGAGAGAGAGAGAGAGAAAGAGAGAGAGAGAGAGAGGCCACTAATTAATGCATTAAGGTCATGAGTTATGAAAAACTTAACTCGTGTATATTACCTTGTGGATAATATAATAATTTGCAGCCTCAATACGGGAATTCATGACTACACCTGAATGTCATCTTAGGGCCTCTGTTGATAAACACACTTAACATATATTTCTTTTCTAGATGTGATAAAATAGTACAATGTATTATATACACAGTGTTAAATTTTCAAAACTAATCAATGCCTTCCCAAGTCCATATATAGGAATTGGGCTGTACAATCATTGATCATCTAACTCGCTTGTCCATCCTGGGTCACAGGGGGAGCTGGAACCTGTCCCAGTGCTCATTGGGCAGAAGGCAGGAAACACCCTGGCCATGTTGCCAATCCATCACAGGGCAGACATACATGCACACATACATACATACATACAAATCCATGGGCCAGCTGTGTTTTTATTTTATTTTTACTTAACATTTTGCCAGGACACCAACTGGCCATTGGTTGTTCAAAATAAGCCACAACTAAAAAATAATTTTAAATAAAAACAAGTTTCTTATAAAACAATAGACTACATCAGCTGCAGATAACTGTTAAACCTCTTTAAATGTACCCAATGTGCAGTAGGTGTTTTTAAAACTGTCTATTCACATGAACTAGACACCTGGCAGTTTTTTTGTTTTGTTTTTGTGGCGCTGTCCCATTGATCGTTGTTGGGGAGTGGGTGGGAGCGCACATTATGTTGGCGTGCATGCTGGGAACTGTAGTGCAGTTATTAAAATAATTTTGCGGGCCGAATAGGATTGTTCCACGGGCCCGACTTGGCCCACAGGCCTTGTGTTTGACACATAGCTTTAGAGGATCCAATGGCATTCGGAGGGAAATGTATGATGAACTTCAGAGGTCTGTTCAGCCCACAGCAGTTTAGCCTCACCCATTCTCATTGAACATATAAGGTGTTTTAGCCTAGACTGCTTTTGGGATGTGGCAGCCAATCATAACAGAGGTCATTTGCATATAACATTAAAGTCACAGTGACAAAAACAGCTTGTTTAATTGTAAGGGATAGGAAAGGTTCATGTAACATGAATTATGGCTGGTGCATTAAAACCACACAAATGTCATGACTGGACTTCAGGGAAAAGAGAAAATACAAGAAAGATGTAGGATACGGGCCTCTTAATGGAGGAAAGCCACTTTAAGGTAAAAACAAGCAGCAAAATAAATGGATAACATGAGCATTCTCACTTACAATCGCAGTAAATAAAACAGCGTGTATAAAGAACACCTATTTCTCCAAATAGAGCAGGGGTGCGAGACTCTGGCCCTCAGCCCTGCAGAGTTTAGCATTCCACCTCATTTAACACTTCTGGTTCATCTCATCAGCTAATGAATAAAGCCTGAGAGTTAGATTCCTGCAGGTCTGTGGCCTCCAGGACACTGAGTTTGATGCCCCCTAATACACAGTGATTGCTGAATGACTGACCGTACTGCTGTACGCAGTATTAGCTTTTTGGTTCACATTTCAGAAAGCCTATGTATTACAAACCGTCATCAAAGTCTGAGCATTCTTTCCCCCCAAGTTACGAAGAAATTCACATTGGCATGCTTTAAAAGGACAGATTTTTCATAATCCCTGATCTGGTGACAAACCAGCCAAGGGTGATGAGAAAAATAAGGCTCTTTAAAGTAAGAGCAGCTTTACTCTTGCAATTAACTGTAATTCTGTGAGCTATTTCATGGTCAATTTCATGGTCTTCCTCTTTAATCAACATGGTTTCAAATTACCCCTGTGGTTAAACTGCACACCACTACATCATAATGTTAAATAGCTAGCCTGGCATTCGGTCATGGCCATATCAATCAAACATAATTCATATCAATTACACAAAATTAGCATTTCATCCATTCTTATGCTTTGAAATGGAAGCTTTTAATAGCACAGTGGTCTACAGCCCTGCTGCCAAACAACTTTGCCCAGTGCAGAGGAAAACCTGGACATTTTTAGGGGCGGCCATTACTTTAAGCCATGACAAGTTCATAAAAAGGCTGGCAGATGGTGCTCAGTATAGCTGAGGTGTGGAGGGATGTTGGTGTGTTACTGCAGGACAATATATTCAGAAAAGTGGCAGCTGGTCAGAAGCCAAGAAAAAAATCAACAGAGATTTATTCTCTAGCAAACAAAAGGCTCAAACAGGCCTCCCAGGCTGATCACCATATAAAAGTCCAATATTTCAAGTCTGGGTGGGGGAAGCAAATTAGACCACGTCTCTATAAATATACAATCTATTCTATAACCCAAAGGAATATCAACATCTTTGCAGGCCGCCTTTTTTCCTCTCTTCTTCAATTCGGCACTTTTTAAGCTCTTTTCTCTCTCTCTCTCTTTCTATCTCTCAAAGGAGCTCCGCCGAATTGTCTCTTTCAAACGTCCTTTTTTTAGTCAGCGGGGATTTGCTGAGGTGGTTCTGCTCTGTTGGGCTTGTTGTCCAGAAATAATGGATTTTTTTTCTCCCTCTGAACAGGGGACCAGCTTATGAGCGCAGAAAGCATAAATACCTTGTGTTGTGCAGAAATGGAAAATACCTCAGGAATAGTAATCAGTGCAGCTTAGTCAGTCAGCGCCCTATTAAGAAGAACTGATATTAAAGGAGTATATCACCGAAAATTGCAAACACTGCTAAAATGAATGAAAGCATTTGGCTATTATGATGCAAATGGTTTAATGAGCCGTGCTAGCTTTCTTTCATCGTTAAGGACTGCAGACATTTTCTTTTGGCGGAACTATTTCTTTAGGCGGAAGTAACAGCAATAAAAAATGAGGATAAGACTGTATGCAGCTATGGCCCTTCCACTATATACAAACAGATGTAACCAGGGCTGCACAAAAAAGGACCAAATTTCATATTGCAATTACAAAATTAAAGCTTACAATACGTTAAAAAGCATTAGTGTACTTGATGTGACATGGGCTGTATCATTTTTGAGTATTTGATGTATTACTTTGTAAGTAATATAGAATTATTAGCGCACAGCATAGTATAAAACACTTCTATCACACTGTGATAATGGATTAATAAATGGTATATAACTTACCTGTTTATAAATGGTATTACCTGTTCATTTAGAGATAAACAGGGTATGTGCAGGTTTTTATAAAGTTGTATTTAGCAAGTTCTACACAAGGGGGAGCCATCAGCACACATTTTCAGGAGCATCACTGAAAGAGAGGAAACCCACACCAGCAGGATCTCTTCCCGTCCCCCAAGTCCCGATGAAGGACTCGAGAGCTTGCAGGAAGGCCTGCCTGAACCCCGAGTGAGAATGAAACCCCATAAGACAGTGGGAAGAGAAGAAGAAGCGGCCTTGCTGTGGAACAGAAGGCAGCGCCCAGGAGGCGGGGCTTTTTCACACCGTCCACCACTTCCTCACGGTTTTCCTTCTCTCCCCCTTCGTCCTCGTTCTGGGTTCAGGACCTGCCTTTTTGCCGGCTCTCGCAGCCACCATCGTGGCACACATGCATATGAAGTAAGTTTATTTAACTCAGTCTAGACTGAAATGCTCAGTAGAGAGCTGACTAGTCTCACACGGCCAAGCGTGATCTTGTAATGACAACGTCTGGGAAAACTTAGGCAACACATGGGTGGGAATGCAGACTTGTTAGGGTGGGAGCAAACTAAAGTGTCAAATTTCTAAACCAATCCAATGCAATTTTTTAATGCGGAGCTCACAGCAGGGGGTGCCAGTGCGCTCGTCAACACTGTACTACAGACAACAAGTCTGTCGGTAGCCCACAGATGTTACCATGGCTGAAAAGTCCCTTAAAAAAACTCCAGTTAGTCATGTAGATGTGTCACGTTTAGAGACCACATTACATGCAGTAAATTAAACATTACCTTTTGCAAAAGAAAAATAGTTCCATTAGGTAACAAAAGTGTTTTGGCAGCTGGCTTGTTTTGCTTGTGTTCTCAACTGTACTATGGAGGTTACAGGAAATCAAGGGGCAGATTTTAGAGGGGACGTACCATAGTTTGTGGTGCATTTTACCAGCACCAAAGGTTTAACCAATTGTCTCCAATCATGTATTCTTGTTACAAGATCACATCTGGACCCAGAAGACCAACATCTAACAGACTACTCCAATAATATTGAAAGCTAGGCTTTAAATGACTCACTTTCTAATAGAATTGATACTGGCAGGCCTAGATGTAGTGAGAAGTCCTGTTCTGAAAGTTCTTTCAGGTGCATAAGTTGCTAATCCTTTACAGAGTCTTTCTTCGTCTTATCTACCCTTTCTTCCTCTTATCCATTCATCTTCCATCTCATCTGCACTACCTTTCTCCGAGCGATCAGACAGCTCTGAGTACTGCATGGCTATGATAACTGTGGCAGCTTGATAACCTAAGGGCCTTTACAGTGGCTGATTGGTGCAGACACATAAAGGTGATGTAACCTCTCTATAGCATCCTCCAGCCGGCCTTTTAGCATGCAGGTCTCGAATTTATCTCCACTGGAAGGGGCTCACCCTGCGCAGGCCAGGAAAAAAACACAGGCCTTTCATAAATTGAACTGAAACTTGCAGCTTGCGGAAAGTTCAAGCAAGAGTTGGTGTGCAAACCATACCATTTTTTAAAAAAACTCAAGCCTCTGCAAGGTTTCTCCTCATCCTCATTTTGGCCTGGATAAGCTTTCTCAGAGCTCTCATGCTCATTGCATCCTATCTGTGATGTTCTGATCTAAAGA